CAGATACTTTGGTCACCTAATGAGAAGAGGACTCTTTGGAAAAGACCCTGATGCTGGGAAAGATTGAAGGCAAAAGGAGAAGGAGACGGCAGAGGATGAGATGGTTAGACAGCATCACCGAAGCAATGAGCAAACTCAGGGAGGCAGTGAAGGACAGGAAGGCCTGGCGCGATATGGTTCATGGGATGATGAAGAGTCGGACACGACTTAACGACTGAACAACAAGATTTTAAACAAAAATATTTTTTCAAAATAATACCTGTATGGAATTTCATTCAAATCTTTGCTAGTGCTATTACTCCATTCCAAAGGATCCTGGAAGATAATTTATTAAAAAATTATGTATCTGCAAATGAGTGGTACACTTATAACAGCAAACTAACTTTTTCCACCTTTTGTTAATTTCCAATCAATCCTATGATAAATGCTTGACCACTGAGACAGTCCTGCAACTGCTGCCATGAAATTCTACACTGGACGTGTTCAGAAAGCCCTGGTGTGGATACTTAAATCTCCAAAATGAAACCACGATATGTATTTAATACTGTTTGCCAGAATTGAAATGACTAGATAAACAGATTCCCTACCACGCTTTGATCTGGGAGGCATGCAGTGGGAAGAGGAGAAAGGACTGTTGATGTGAATTTTAATTTATCATAATTACTATCTACTTTATAGGTATTTAAAATAGATATAATTACCATCTATAAAACAAATGTAATCACTGTCTTTCACTTAAAAAGCAAACAACCCCTTGATACCTCTCTACCACAATGGGGGGGGAGGAGAGGGGAGGGTTCTGCATTACAGCATCTCCCCAAATCTGTTCTGAGCAAGTTTCTTTGTACAACCGCACCAGCTTATGCAATGTTTCACCCAGAATTGTTAGAAGTGCAAAGAAATAATTTGCTAATTAAATACAAGCTCCCCAATATTTTTCAATTACCTCAGGGTTCAACTTCCATCCATGTTTTGTAGAATCGCTAGTAATACAATCTTCCAACATATCAGATGTTGCTATTTGCGAGTCAATTATCTCCACATTGCCAGATATACATGACCAGTCTGTATTACAGGCAACACTTCTGCAGTCAGCCATTACAGGCATTATTTCTGGAGTCGGCCATTCCCTGGGCCTACATTTACTCATCATTGTTATCACAGTGTTTTGTGCCTTAGATACCACTGAACTCTTGACATTAATGGCTCGACTTGTTGTAAAACTAGCTCTAAAATCAGCAGTTGCATCAATAGCTTGGTTAACTGCACTTCGAAAATTTTTACCAGATTCACATGCATTTGTGATGCATTTCAATTCTGCACCAGAAAAATTCTCAGTGCAATTTCCATGATGCTCCCAGGAATTGTAGACAGAGTTTTCTATGTCAGCATTAACTACAACTGATGGTTTGTAGGCACATGAATTTGAACCTTCTGGATTATGAGAAACCTGAGGAAAAGGCAGTAACATTCTCTCCTGGCATAATATATGTGGACTTCCAGTCTTATTTAGATAATCATTTTTTTTAAATATTTCTTTAGGAGTAGGCATAATAGATTTCAGTGTTGTATCACTAAGAAAATTTACTTTAATCTTTTCTTCTATCTCAGCTTTGCTAGTCAAAAATAATTTTGAATTATTTTCTTTATTAACCTTAACATGAGATGAATCTTCAATTATACTATAAAACATGCTAAGATTCTCATTTCTTTTTTCATCTAAGTGTATATACTGATTCTCTGTACAACTGACATCTTGAAACATCTGGAGGAACGTTGATATTTCATTGCAATTATAATGGCTCTTGACACAACTTGATGTAGAAAATTTCTCTTCAAATTTGGTCAATGGTTGCTGGTGATCTGTAACATCTTCATTTACCAGTTCCTTTTCTTGAAAAATTTCTGAATTCTGTGTTTCCTGTCTATATGAACAGTCACAATCAACATTATCCTGTTCTTCAGCACTGTGATATTCTAACTGGGAGTCATCATCAAAACAATTGCATTCACTCTCATTCTCCTTAATATAGGAGAAATCTGTATTAGTATCTGTTCCATTTGTATTTTCCACTGTACTTGAAATGTTGTGTTGCTGTTTATGTACGTATTTAAGTTCTTCATTGAGTGATGAACTAAAGTAAGTTAGGTTTTCTTTTGATAAGTTTAAATGTGAAGCACTTAAGTAACATGACTGGCTTGAAATGGAATACTTGGCTCCTGTTTGAAGATCACAACAGGTATTATCAAGCTCATATTTTTGGAAATGTGCTGGTTCTTGTGATACATTCAAGATGGGTAATGTATCTGTATCTTTTTCAACTCTGCATTCTTTCCCTTCCATGATCCCAGTCTCAGGGTAATTATCTGAAGCAATTACCTTAATGGCAACTTTATTAAATATATTTTTCTCAAAACTGCTTGAGGGGTGATGAGATTTAACTATTGCTTTTTCACCTGTTTAAAGGCAAGATACATTCATTATAAAAATAAGGGTTAATGGTTTGTTAATTGTTGGATTTTGGTAATTAGACTGATATACGGAAAACAAGCAGAATAGCCAGGAGACTGCAAGATTAATTAATTGGAAGTTTGTTTTTCTCTAAGCTTCTAAGAGTAATGACTTTATATTTAGGACTCAACATACAGCTCCTGAATCCTTAAGCAGAATATTTAATGAGTTCTTTAAAAAAAAAATTATATTTGCACAAATCAGTTTGAAACAATTTTTGCAAAACATTCTATTAATCTAATTCAATCAAATTAAGCTTTATTTTATAACATTCCATATAACAAAATTTATACATGCAAAATTGTGAAAAAAAGTCACAAATGCTCTAAGATAAAGGTTTAACTCACCTGAAGGAATATGAATAGTAAAACCAGGCTTTTCTTGTACTTCTAGTCTGTGGGCATTCATTTCAGAATCAGCAAGGCCACAGTAACTACTTTCCCTTTGATGGTTAAGAATAACAGGTAAGAAGGAAGAGACTACCACTAATGGATTTGATGTATTTAGTCATGGGACTATAGATTTCAGAAAAATATTGTCTTTGATGAGAACACAAAAGTGCCTCAGAATAAGTAAATCTCTCATAAAATTGAAAACTTTTATTATGGTCAATGACCAACAGTTTGTGTACAGCTTCATATCAAAAGTAATAAAATGAAATAAAAGGATTAATAGAAACAGAAAGAAGAAACACTGTGGGTATATTAATATGCAGTACAAATAAAATATAAAGTGAGCTAAAGAAGAATATCAATGTGGACAATAGGATACTAAGCAAAATAAAGTTTCTCATAAAGTGAATAATATCCCAGAAACCATAGCCTTGCATAAAAAAAAAGGATAAGCATAAGAATTTTCATATAAATAAGGTAGATATCACATAGCAAGAGACACTTTGGTGTAGTGGTTAAGGCATCAGGCTAGAAACCATGACTTCTAGTCCCACTTTAGGCACAAAGCCAGCTGGGTGACCTTGGGCCAGTCACTCTTTCTCAGCCCTAGGAAGGAGGCAAAGGCAAACCATTTCTGAAAAATCTTGCCAAGAAAACTGCAGGGACTTGTCCAGGCAGTCACCAGGAGTCAACACTGACTCAAAGGCACCCCCCCCCAAAAAAGGACATGCTTCAAATATATGATTGACAGTAAGAATGTGCTAATTTATAGTTCTTATAAATTATAATTCTATAAGAAACTATAGTTATTTCTTATAGCAAAGAAATGTTCAATCTTAAATTGTATACTAAGTAGAACATCACATACACACATTATATAATAATTTCATCCTAATACTTTCTCTATGCAAGTCTATTCAGACTAAGTATGATTAAGTACAGCGCATTCAGAAAGCATTCAGACCCTCTTCACTTTTTTCAATGTTATGTTACAGCCTGATACTACAGTTGTTCATTTTCTTTCTCATTAATCTACACTCAGTACCCCATAATGACAAAGTGAAAACAGAATTTTAGAAATGTATGTAAATTTATTAAAAAGAAAAAAGTGAAATATCACATTGGCATAAGTATTCAGACTCTTTGCAACAACACTTGAAATTTAGCTCAGGTGCTTCCCACTTCTCTTGACCCAATGTGATATTTCAGTTTTTCCTTTTTCATACGTTTGTAAACATTTCTAAAATTCTG